ACAACATATGTCATGGGATTTCTTGTCAAGTTTAATAGTTGTCCCAGTAAAGAGCATTGGATTGCTATTGAGAGGGTCATGAGATACCTCAAGAGAACTACAAACCTTGGTATACACTATCAAAGGTTTCCCGCTGCACTAGAAGGGTATAACATGCAGTCTGTCAGACGACTCCAAGGCAACAAGTGGGTATGTTCTTAACATTGTTGGAGGAGTTGTGTCTTGGAAATCTAAGAAACAATGAATCTTAGCTCAATCAACTACAGAATCCGAGATCATAGCACCAGCAACAGCTAGTGAAGAAGCGAGTTAGTTAAGAGGATTATTGTCGGAGATTACCTTATGGGAAAGACCAGTCCCTTCGGTGTTGATCCATTGTATTTTGCTAAGAGATGACCGTGAGTCAGTTGTGCATAAGCTTTCTCAACCATCGTATTTTGCAGAGGAATTTTGAGGTTTTTAAAGCCAATGTGGTGCGTTGAGGAATTCCTCTATTTCGCAGAGAAAATCTAAGCAAGGAGGATCAGAGGTTTGTAAGGCCGATGTGGAGCTCTTTCATTATCTAGCACAAACTTCTCTACCATTAGCTCCAACTAGCTCTTCGTCTCTAGTTGTGGAGGAAAATCTTCATAGTATGGGTTGAACTCTTAAACATCCGGAGGTATGGTTGTTCAACATAGGAAGGGGTTGGTACTCGAACCCGAATCTGTAGCCATCTCTTGCTTGATTGATCCAAGATGTCTCGGGGTAACACCAATTGGATGCTGGTTGATACCCCACGTATAGAAGAAGCTACTAGAATCCGTGATTTATATGTGCATCAACAAAAAAGATGGAACATAAAACAAAAGAAAAGATAGAAAAGGCTAGAGTAAATATAGTCCACTTTTCCTAATAACTTGCGGTGTTCCCTAACAATGGAGTCAAAAACTTGAGTCGATCTTACACTATTATGCCAACTGTAAGCCAAGTGAAACAAACCATTGGGTGTAGTATAGCTGAAGTAAGCTTTAAAATATCAACTTGGGCCGAGTTGGGCGGCAAATTTACTATTACTTCATGGAAATATATTGTTATATAGCAAATTGAGAATTGAATTAAACTATCGACTAGAGAGCAAAGCAAATAAAGGTTGTGAAAACTATCTAGAGAAAGTTCCTTGTGTGCGCTTTCCTCTTGCTACAAAATAGACTGAAGAATGACATTCAAATCTTTATGAGATTTATGGTATGCATTCTAGTATTTTTTTTTTGTTGTATGCATTTTGTTATTTCAGGAGTGCATTCTCCTAGTAACTGATGTGTATTCTGGTATTTCTTATATTCATTTAGAAACTAACTGTATGCATTATGTGTTTTTTGTATGAAGTCATATGCTTTTGGATCTAAATATCATGCTAGAAACAAGAGAAAACAACCACAAATCTCATAAAGGATACCACAAATCTCTCGAAATGAACCAAAAATCTTCTGAAGCACACAACAAATCTCATAAAGCACATCAGAATGACGGGAAAGCTAACCACACCAAAAAAAGTACAAAGCATAATAGAAACCTGAAAGATCACACCACAAATCTCATACCCCGTACCATTAAATGAGAAAATACACCGCAAAAATTACACTAAAAATACTAGAAAACGAACCACAAAAGAAGAACAAACTGGAACCACAAGAAAGCAAACCAAAAATCTCATAAAGCATACTAGAAACACGAGAAAACAAACAAAAAATCCAATAGAGCAAAATAGAAGTATTATAAACTCAGAACACAAATTTCATGAAATGGAGCACCAATCTCCTGACGCACACCACAAATCTCGTAAAACATACTAGAAACACTAGAATGGAAACCACACTAGAAATACTACAAAGCATACTAGAAACACGAGAAAACACATAGCAACTAGAAATACTATAAAGCATAACACATATATAAATAATCATACTAGAAACAGATGAAAGTAACCCACAAAAAGCACACGTGAACCCTAGAAAGCATATTGCAAATGTCTTGAAGCAAACCTGAAACAGGAGGAAGTAGCTCACAAATCCCTTGAAGTAGAATGAAAACACCAGATATATTTCTATTTTGGGCTATTACCACTGGGAAACCCGAACTATTAACTTTGTGTCATTTGTGTCCTAAAGTATTCGATATGACATTTGTGTCCTAAACTATTTTTTCGTTAGAGTTGACCGTTAGTTTTTAACAGAAAGTCTAGTCAGCGCTTATGTGGCATCTGACGTGGAAATTTTATTATTATTTATTTATTTTTCCTATTGCTTAAAAAAATAATTAAAATGAACATAATTGGAAAATTGAAAGCCACTGCCTCCGCCACCACAAAAATCCTCCTCCTCTGCGACAAGTCCTCTCCTCTTCTTCCCGAGCCGCCAGGAACTCCGGTCAGCTCTCCCCTTCGCTGCCTCCTCACCTCCGCTCCAATCCACTCCATTACGTAATCCTTCTTCACCCTCCCCGATTCCGATTCCACTCCGCTATCCTGTTTCCACCACCAATCCCTTCTGGATCCGCCTTTTTTCCCACCCAAATCTCGCCCGCTTTCCATGCTCCCCCTGTCAAACCCTAACTCCGACACGCTCGCCTTATCCGCCCCCACGGCCTCCAGCGACGTATCCGAATCCAAGATCTTACTCACCTGGGAGCGATCGACAGCTGCTGCGGAGTCTTCGTAGCCGCTGGTCGCGACGCTCTCCGCCTCCTCCAGGATGGATCCGTTGTCCTCTCCAGCGGCACACTCGGCGATCTCCCCCGTCTTCAATCTAGAGAGTCCGAAGTGGTGGGAGCGGTGCGGTTGCTAGAGAGCTTCCGATAGAGTTGGAGCCAGATCTTTCCCCCACCGCCGCCGGTTTCGCTCTCTCTCTCTGCTACACTGCCCCCGCCTCCAGTCTTGAGTCGCCGCAAACCTCCCACCTCCCACCTCCGCATCTCAGTCAACTGGGCTAAGCAGAAAGGTAGATTTGCTTGCAATTGGGAGGATTTGCTTTGCCTCTCGTTCAATTTCACTTCGGAAAGCAGAAAAGGCATATTTGCTTGCAATTGGGAGGAAGAGATATGGTCGGCGATGGCGAATTCTGAACTAACTGCAGCTGCTTCTTCGATTGACAGAGGAAGCCCCATAGCCAGTCCCCTTCTCCGCAATCTTCTCCGTCGCTCGAAATCAGGCTAGAAGCCGAAAATGGAAGGGGCAAATTGACGGGATGAAGATACGAAGATATGTGGCTGAAAATAATTTTAATTGTTGATTTCAATTGTTAAAATTTTTATTTTTTATTTTGTATTTTGTATTTTAATTGTTAATTTTTATTTGAAAATAACAACTTGATGTGGCAGCAGACGTGGCGCTTACGTGGCTGCCACATATGTGCCATGTAATCAACAGTCAACATTTTATGGTTGACCGTTTGGTCAACCGTTATCTATAACGGTCAACAAAATTGTCAGGACGTAAATGACACACAACTATCATACGTCAGGACACAAATGTCATATCGAATCCTTTAGGACACAAATGACACAAAGTTAATAGCTCGGGTTTCCTAGTGGTATTAACCCTTCTATTTTCTAACTCACACCAAAAACTTCATCATGCAGGCCATAAACACGATAAAGAAAACCACAAGAAACAGGCCAAAAACACGACAAAACAAAGAACAAAGATTATAAATCAAAACATATTTTAAAAAAAATGATGACAAGTGATGAGAGCCAATCTGCCACATCTGTGACAGTGTGATCGGATTCCAACGACAGATGGTCGACAAAGAGTGACCGGAATCCAACTATCGAAAACTGGATTCCAGTGACCGGATTCCAAAGATTTAAAACTGGATCCAAAATATTGAGTCCTAAAATCTAAATTTGTATCATCATCAATTACAATCACAAAGATAATACAAGTCTTTCATTTATTAGTGTCGAACTCTATACATCAATTCCTACCAAGTAATTTTGCCCTTTTCTGCTGAGATCACCACAAGCTTCCCCTAGCTCCGGACAACAAGGCCAACCCACCCACGACGGATTTCAGCGACCCACAGGCTGGCCAGTCCACCAACAGAAGAAGAAATAACCAATGGGCCAATCTCAAACAACCCAAAACTAGGGTGTTCAAACGGTGTGGTTACCGTGGTAACCATTTTAACCAGTAGTATTTGGCTAATTTAATTTGGTTAATTTCGATAATTGGTTTGGTTTGGTTAAAAAATTTAGCTTATTTGGTTTAGGTAGTTTGGTTTGGTTTCAGGCACTCATAACCAATCAAACCAAATTAACCAGTTAAGTAATTTGTCATATATATAATATATATTGTATACACATACTTAATACTTTGCATAACCACTCAAGAGTCAAATGTAAGATAATTGTATTTGTTACATGTGTTTACGTTAAGGGTTAACTACAATTATGTGGATTGTTATGTGTTGTTCATTATATAAATTGCGAATTGATGCACTAACTGAAAATTTTCTCACTTTATGATAATGTGGTGTTATATTGGTTATTTTGGTTAACCAATTAACCAAACCGAATAAACTTTAATTTGGTTAATTTGATTGTTGTATTAGTTTGGACGGTTTGGTTATGATATTGTATTCCATGATTAATAGAATTAAGACTTATTCGGTTTGGTTATTACCATGTTAACCATTTGAACACCCCTACCAAAAGCTTACCAAACCATATCTTAATTAGAGGTGGCAATTGGATCGGATTCGTGGATTCGTGGATTGGATTGGTGGATCCATGAATCAAACGGATTGGATCCAATGGATTGGTGGATTCATGGATTGGATCAAATGGATTGGTGGATTGATCCATGAATCCAAATGACATCCAAGGCTTGGACCAAAATGTAAATTTTGAAAAGTTTAGGTACTAAAATGTCATAATGAAAAATTTTAGGTACCAAAATGTAATTTTCCAATGATATTTTTCGTATAAAAATATAAATTTTAGCTACCAAAATGTAAAATATAAAAAATATAGGTACCAAATCGTAATTTGCCATTTGGATCCATGGATTGATCCATGAATCCACCAATCCAATTGGATTTGGATCAAATTGATTGGATTTAAATGGATTGGATTAGGTGGATAATTTGGTGGATGGATTGGATTGGATTCATGGATTTGGATCATAATTGCCACCTCTAATCTTAATCCAAACTTTCTCCACCCGTGAACTAGAGTCCCGCCAAAATTCCAATTCACGGGTTTCCAAAGCTCTCGTGGTTTCCAATTCCCTAGTGGCCTAGCCTCATTTCCTCCCTCTATATAAACCCGAAACTACACACATCAACAATCAGTTCCTCTCCACGATCATAATTAACTACAGCTACCCATTGCCATGGCAAACAACAGCAAGCCCATGTTTGTGAAGATGACAATGGTGGTGGCCTTGGTTGCCTTGGCCATGGTAGTTGACACCGTGGAGGCTTCAAGGAAGGTGGGGAGCACCAAGCCATCGCCACCAGATGAGCAGGTTGTGTTCTGTAACATGACACAGGAAGGACTCAAGGCCTGCAAGCCATCGGTTACAAAGCCCAACCCGATCAGCCCGCCCGCTTTGGCCTGCTGCCAGGCTCTCGGGACAGCTGACTTGAAGTGTCTGTGCTCTTACAAGAACTCCTTCGTCCTGCCTTCCCTTGGGATCGACCCTGAGCTAGCCATGGCTCTGCCTGAGAAGTGCAACCTCCCTTCTGTGCCACAGTGTTGAACTGTAATTAATTAATGGGCCGGGTTTATTCCGTCTCTTGTTGCTTCAATTAGTAGTTAATTCTTTAGTTCTGGTTTGCATTATGTCCTTTGTATTCAAGTATGTAGTAGCATTGACTTAAGCATTGTCTGTAAGGCTGTAACGTTGTTATGTAACAGTACGATTTATATCCAACCACTCCTCGTTGGTATATGATGTCAGAAGTTTGCATTGAATTGTGATGCCGCATAATCTTTGGGGAGGATGTTCATGTTAAGATGCAGAAACTTTGATGAGATTGTGTTGTAATAAACAATGACGACTCAAATTAAGCTAGCTTAAATTTTTTAAAAAAGAGGCTTAAAATCTTTTCGAATCAATGTGAAACCAGAGAAAAACATATATAGTTTCAATGTGAATTGTGAAATATTCAAAGAAGCTTAAAGTCTGTATTCTCTCAAGATTTGGTCTGAGAGGCTTAATCTCTCGAATCAAGCATAAACTGCTCATATGCTCTGGCCATTGTAGATGGAAGCTAGCTCAATTTGGGACGCCTGGATGCGTGCGTATCATTTTAAAAAAGGGTGACCTCTGGTCTATGAAGCTGAATTCGATCAGCTCTTAAACTTGGAGGAAAACTTTGAAGTTGAGGGACTTGGTCCAGCCTTACACAAGCAGGACTCAGCTATTTTCTCGAATAGTGCACTGATGCAGCACTACTATGTTCAAGTAGTCTGGGAGAGATTACGGCCTCGTACAATTAGGGCTCTACCCTGTATACCCATACGGGTTTAGCACGAAGAGAGAGTAGGGAAAAGTTGTTAGGCCAGCGTAACTATCTGATTAATGAATTTACATGTTGAAATTCCTAACTTGCTAACTTGTCTTCGTAATCCTTTGACTTTGTAAATTTGTGCACTTTAGTCCATTTGATCATAATCAAGTGTGATCATAATCTCTGACAGCCCCGCCGCATACTAAGCATGGATCGTCTTCAAGCTTATTTTGGAGAGCAATTCAGTGAAAACATGGACTGAAAGCACTTTGGTGAAAAGATCTGCAAGCTAAAGTTTGGTGGAGATGTGTTGAACTTTCGTATGCTTGACTTGAACTTGATCCTCAGTGAAATGAGAGTCAATCTCGATATACTTCATGCACTCGTGTTTGATTAGATTCTGGGTCATCTTGACTATTGAGAGGCTGTCACAGTAGATGGTATAAGGCAGTTATGGGAAATTCTCTGAAAAGATATGTCATCCACTGAAGTGTTGTAAGGTGTCTGCAACAACCTTGCACTCTGCTTCATCAGAGGACCTCGGAACAGTTTGTTGTTTCTTTGATCTTTACTCTGATACCACTACACTTAATTCCAATTATCGGCCAAGTGCAACCTATAGACGGGTGTAGGATATGATAAATATTTCAATATCAACCCGGGTGATCTATCTACCATTACTTCAATTGTTCAAACGTTATCTAGTGATCGGATTGTGGTTAAAGCTAAGAAGACTAAGAAAATTGAACAAGCAAACAATTAAACTTTGGCCAGTTTGATTAAGGAAGAATCACTCGAATATTGCTCCCATAGTCTCATGTCAAGATACAACAAATGAAACTCTTGTGATAAGTAGGATCATATACCGTGAGGAGGTCTCAATTAGCTAGGGAAACCCTAAGCCTCTCGATCGATCGTGTTTTTCACAATTAGCTAGGAAACCCTAAGCCTCTTAATCGATCGACCAAGGTTGTAATGCCACTCCCTCGGAAGTTAACCCGGAAAGGCGAAAAGCAACCAATCAAGACAAAATCATGGCACTACATCAACTGATACACCACATGTTTGTGACTTAAGACTCACCTCATCGATAAGAACCTCAACTTCAAGGAGGTTCTACGGTGACCGAAACTTAGGATCCACCATCAGGCTAACGACGTGAAAGAAGCGCTTGTTGGGAGGCAACCCAACCAGTCTGTTTGCACTTTCTTTCCCTTTGCTCTTTGGTTGAGTCATTCTTTTGATTTTAGAGTCAATAACTCAATATTTGTGAGATTTTATCTGGTGTTTGTGCTCCGATTACTAATTCTCCCATGGAATGCACCTCTTGCACCATCCACCATCATTCATACTTGGTTTGATAACTCCGTTCTACCCTCCTTAACTTTTTTCCATTGAGGATAATGTTGTGCTTAAGTGTGGGGAATGTTTCGTTATGTAAGTGTGATGAATGGTGTCTTTTGTGTGTGCTTGGAGCCTAGTCCATATTAAAAAAAAAAATGGTCTGGTGGCGGGGACAACTGCTAGCTCGTGCAACTCACCACAACCATCTCGCCTTGTCCCCATTTTCCCCGAGGATTGACATTTCCTTCCCCACAATTGGCGATCCAAATGGCGATTATCGCCATTAATGACGAGAATGCCATAAATGTCGGTTGCATTGGAGTCAGCCTAACAGCCAACACTGGTCTACACAAACGAAAAAAATAGTTTGTGTTATATTGAGTAGTTTAGAACAGAAATCACATTTGTTTGATAGTTCGAATATTCTTGTAGAATTAGCCCTAATTTTTATCCACGGTGTTTTTGCCATCTAATTAAGTGACAACCTATCAAACTAACCCAAAAAAATGCACATTGTAGCCCGTTGCAGGACACACCAGGCCCACCTAGTTGCTCCTCTCCCTCTGTATGTGCAATGCAAGTATGCAACCCAAGAATAGTGGTCCCGTCTCAAAATAAAAATCAAAGAAAAGAGAATAAAAATAAGTTTGAATATATTACTAAACAATTCCATTTCTCTGTTGCAGGTTCAGCTCACAAAAAGCGCATGAAACGTGTCAATCCTCCAATTGATGGTGGAAACGTCAAACAAACCGGTCTCTCTCCTCCTTTAATAATAGCACTGATATTCCGCGAGCCAAGATAAATATACACACAACTCCTTTGGAACCTACGGATAGGATTAATGCTTTTTTTATATATTCAAAAAAAGACCGTCCGTTTACCGACGCATTGCCACCAATGAGGGATGAGTCATTACTCATTACCATATCCACAACACAGATTGGTACCCTACTCCACAAGCGAAGGTTTAGCTTGTTTAAAAATCAAATACCAGCAAGGAAGCAAGGTGGCAATGCAAGATTCAACTAGAGTAACTCTAGGTTAAAAACCATTCTAGCTTAGAAAGATTTCACCGACCCAGACTGTTCAAAATTACCAAAACATCATTTTTACCACATCAGCTTCGGATATCAAAAGGATGCCTACTGAGATTTCACCGCGACCCAGACTGGTCAGAATCCCGCCACAGAGAAAGAGAAGCACAATACTAAGTACGAGCCCTCATCATATCACCTACTCGGCTACTACCTTCCTCCTAACAGCTACAAATTAACACCATCCGATAAAAAGTCTGGTGGTCCCCACCACGATAACAAAGCTCGCGAAAACGAAAAAACTAAACAGCACTACTACTAGAGACGGTCGGTCAGGATAACAGCAGCAGAGATCCGAGGGCCATCAAGCCTCCACGCCAGCATCACCACACTTCGCTGCCGCCGAGGGTGAGCAAATCATCCAAACGAAACCATAAGGATCCTTCACCTTACCCACGCGCCCACCGCAGCACGCGCCATCAGATTCCGCGATCTCCCCCTCCGCCACAGCTCCGGCGGCCACCGCCTTGGCGACAGCTGCCTCCACGTCCTGTGTCTCCAGGCAGAGTGACAGTCCACTTCCCACGCCCTTCACACTGGACCAAAACAGAGGAACGAAATTTGCAGCACGAGAAATCAGCGTTATGGAAATGGCGAAAAGATTTAAGGGTCGGAGGTTCGCGGAAAGCATCAAACCACTCAAGTCCAAGAAACCATCGGCCGTGGAAAACAGGAGACTAAGACCGGAACCACGACTACATTAGGGATAACGTACGCAAGGCAGAGATAAAGGCAGACTAACGGGGTCACCAACTCAGGATAAGACAAAAACAATAGCGCACAACGGATAAACGCAAAAATCAAAAAATCGATCGCAAGAAACAAAGAGATGAACGAAAAACCGAAGCCAAAATCATACTACACCACCTCCACTGAGACGTCAAAATCAGTAAAAAGGCGTAGAATCAACTCAAAGAATAAACAAATGAATATTAGAACGATGAGAAAAAAATTCAGTTTGTTCATGCTAGACCTTCATCAAAATGAACAAAATAACAGAGCCAGACTGCTCTGTAGGCTTCCTAACAGTACGATACACCGTCCAGATAAGATACATAGAGAATGGCAGAGGAGAGTAACTAAGTCGCTGCCAGAAACAACATCAAGGTTTGATTTCACCTAGCAAACAAAACGTAAATCCCTAGGTTACAACAAGAAAACAGAGTCCTACCGAACAGATAATGAGATCTGAAGAATATATTTCAACGAGAAGCATCAAGAATACCAAACGCATGGAAGAGCTTAACACAGAGAGAGAGAGAGAGAGAGACGTACGGAGCGGAATCGTCTGCGAGATCAGAGACGAGAATGGTGGAACCGGCGAGCTGAAGCTGAGCGGAGATGATCTGAGGGAGCTCCTGTTCCGCCTTCCGCTTGGGGTGCGTGGTGCGGCCAGTCTCCACAGCTCCGAAAGCCTCCTTGTAGAACTGGACAGCTTCGCTAGCCTTAGGTGCCTCCACCACCAGCTGAGGCTTGACGGCGGTGAAGGAGACCACCACCTCAGCCTTCTCAGCACCTCCATTGTGGATCTCCGGTTGCGCCATGGATTCCTGCTCCGAGATGAAAAAGTGAAGAGAGGAAAGAAGACCAAGCGCTGAAAAACCTAAGAGAGAGAAAGATGGACGAAAAGCGAAAAATATCAGAGAGAAAATGATAAACGAGGAATGGGCAGGGAAGGACGTTGTGGGGGGGCTTTAATAGAAGCGGGGAAGCGCAACCGCATCGTTTCTTGTGAGGACAAAACGAGAATTGGAAGGGGAAGGGCCGGTTTTGTGTTTGCCATTAGAAGTGTTGTGAATTTACGAACGGTGCCATTATGAAAACTTGCAATCTTCCGTTGTCGGAGCAGTCTCTGCGGGTTGGCCTTTTGCTCGTCTCCCACGGAAAGAATATGCCTCGAATTGGTCAGATTTACGAGCCCGTGGCTCGACTCGATTGTTTAGGCTCGAATAGAGGTGGCAATTATGATCCAAATCCATGAATCCAATCCAATCTATCCGCCAAATTATCCACCTAATCCAATCCATTTAAATCCAATCCATTTGATCCAAATCCAATTGGATTGGTGGATTCATTGATCAATCCATGGATCCAAATGGCAAATTACGATTTGGTACCTATATTTTTTATATTTTACATTTTGGTACCTAAAATTTATATTTTTATACGAAAAATATCATTGGAAAATTACATTTTGGTACCTAAAATTTTTCATTATGACATTTTAGTACCTAAACTTTTCAAATTTTACATTTTGGTCCAAGCCTTGGATGTCATTTGGATTCATGGATCAATCCACCAATCCATTTGATCCAATCCATGAATCCACCAATCCATTGGATCCAATCCGTTTGATTCATGGATCCACCAATCCAATCCACGAATCCACGAATCCGATCCAATTGCCACCTCTAGGCTCGAACCTCCATTGAACTTTGCAACAAAAATAAAAGAAGTAATTTCATGCACAATAAAGTAATTTGTAAGGAGTACATACTGATTTTTGTTTAAGTTTGAGAAAATATATAAAGTTCGTTTGTTTTCACATTTCGGTAAAACTTAAATTTGAGACAAAAATTTAAAAATCTAAAAGGTGAAACAAACAAATCCTATATATCTAATCACTCGATTTATCGAATTTTTTCATACTTGATAGCCAAGAAATATATCATTCATATTGTTCACTTATTTTAAATCTTGTTTAACATTGATCACTGATTGTCAAATTCTGTTAAATTTACCTAATTTGAAGTCCATTATTAATGATATGGTAATTAAAAAATAATACACAAATAATTATTTTTAATTTTCTGCCTCACCACAACTTAATTCCAAAGTTACCGTAAAAAATGAAATGCAATCCTTCCGATCAAACCTCAACTCAGTTTCAAGCGAAAATCGGAAACAAAGTCAGAGGTAGAAATCGAACCGAAAGAAGAGTTGTTTTGGGTGTTGCTTCGTTGGGTGAGTCGATATTGTTCACTTATTTTAAATCTTGTTTAACATTGATCACTGATTGCAACCCAGCCCGACGTCGTTTTATCTAGCCCAAAACCAGCGCCGTTTCAGCCCTGATCAAGCCGGCGTCGTTCTGCCCTACCTAAGACAAGAAGCGAAGGTTGTATGGAGGGCGCCGCAGTCTACGAAGGAGAGGTCAAGTCAGAGTCAGGTCCTAGGAATAATTAGGGTCTAGAAGCATGGCCAAAAACCCTGACACACGTTGTAGTCATGTCGCATTAAATACCCACTACCATGATGTACTATAAAAGGGGCATTTACTACGGTAGGTGGAGGATCGGATGTTGGATTGACTCACTAATAAACTCAGACTTCTCTCTCTAGCCAATTTCCTCCGAATCTCTCCTTCTCAGACCAACATTCTCATCAGAAACGAACCACCGTTACGCTTCGCTTGCCCTACTTCCCCCCTCTTTCTCACGAGTCTCACTCCTACACTCAGTTAGGCTCAAACAATTGGCGCCCACCGTGGGGCTCTGTAGGGAAGCGATGGAAAACCAACTGACGACGGAACGCAATATCGACTCACCCAACGAAGCAACACCCATCAAAGCTATGACGAACCAAAGGACACACGCGGAGGCCAGCAACTTCAACGCGGTACTCATTGAAGAAGAAGAGCCTGAGCTGACGCCCAAGGAGATGAGGCAGCAGATGGCTAAGCAAAACGAAATCATTGCCGACATGCAAAAAAAAAATGAACCAGGTTATAGCGCTCATGATGAGCAAAGAGCCCGCGCAACCCAGTCACGCGGCGCTGCTAGCGCAAGACGCGACCGCGGTAAACGCCCCGCCGCGACAACAGATCCCGGTCATCACATCCGCGGACGAGGCACCCCAGGCGGAGCCGCATCCTAGGGCGGACCTCAGTTTCTTGGAGCAGCATCTTTCTCCACAATACCGCCCCCACCCTCCTAAGAGAATCCTCCACCAACCGCTAAGCGCGGACATAATGGCGGAACATCTAAGCGGAATGCCGCCCGCCCTCCCCACGTATAACGGGACAACGGACCCAGAAGACCACGTCAGCACATTTTGCCTCAGAATGCAGCTCCAAACCAATTCCAACACGGCACTGTGCAGGACTTTCCCCTCAACTTTCTCCGGCATATGCCTCGACTGGTACAACAGACTCCCGAACGGAATCATCCGCTCCTTTGAGGAGTTCATACTCCTCTTCACTACCAAATTCGCGTCACAAAAAAGGAGACCCCTGCACCTGAAGGCCCTGATCGACATTAGGCAGAAAGACGGTGAGAGCCTACGCGCGTTCTATGCCAGATGGTCGAGAGTAGCTATGGCGGTGCGCGACCTCACTCCCGAAACCGCCGCCCATCACCTCATGGACGCTACGACCAGCATGGAGCTCAAGCGCGCCATAGCAAAAAGGCCAGTGACGCTGTCAACAGAGCTCGAAGCTAAAATCGAAAAGACCATCACGCTGGAGGAGACTCTGGGCGCGGGTTCTGTCAGGCGATTTGAGCCTTCCAAGCCGCCCAGGGAAGACCAAGCGCGGAAACAACTTCCGGTGCCCCGAGAACAGTTACTGCAGTCTCACAGCGGATCCAGGAGGCAACTCGCTCGACCAGAACAAGTTCCGCGGAGGCGCTCCCCCGATAGGCGTCAACAGAACGCAACGCCCAATTACACACCGCTCAACGTCTCCGTAAAGAACGTATTCCATGTCCTCCGCGAGAAGGGATACAAGATCAATTGGCCTGCACCCGTCAAGGCCGCTCCTCACCTGCGCAACCCGAACAAACATTGCGAGTTCCATAGGGAAACGGGTCACTCAACGGAGGACTGCAGGGAACTAAGGTACGAAATAGAGGGGCTCATCCGAAGAGGACTGCTGTCGCAGTTCGTTCAGGGGGCGGAAGAACAGAAAGAGCCGCGCGCGAACCCTCCGCCTCCCCCGCAAGCGGAGTATGATGAAGCAACCGGCGCTTACCTAGTGCGAAAGGAAATCGGGGTGGTGACGGTTGAGGGGAGCCGCCCAACCAAGAAGACCAAACGCGAGCGCGCCACGGAATGCGCGTCGTCGGAGGTACGCCCGAAGTGCTACTTAAGCTTCGACGACTCAGAATTTCCCCAAGGAACTCCGTCGGAGGACCCGCTGACCATTACCGCGCTAGTAGCCGCCTGCAAAATCCATCGCCTGCTGATCGACGGGGGGAGCGCAGCAGATATACTGTTCAAAAGTACCCTCGACCAAATGGACATTGATCCACGCTTGATCAGACGAGCGGAGGGAAACCTGGTCGGTTTCTCCGGAACGAGGGTCGCGGTGATCGGCGCGGTCACTCTTCCGGTCGTAATCGGGGATCAAGAGCCGCGGGTCTCCAAGCAAATCGAGTTTACAATCGTCGACTGCAAGTCCCACCACAACGGCATCCTGGGACGCCCGTTTCTCGCAAAATTCATGGCACTACCGTCGACGTGTCACCAAAAGCTCAAATTCCCTGCCAAGGCAGGGATCGGAGAAGCCCGAGGAATCCCGTGGTCGACCCCGCGGAGGGAAGAATTACCCCGCCAAACCAACATCGTCGACACGCGGGCCGAAGAGCCGCGTCCAGAATCGATGGATTCTGATTTCGAGGTGGCACTGGACCCCGACGAACCTGAGAAGAGGATCCGCGTCTCAACCCATGTACCTGGCGACATGGTTGAGCCGCTGATTGCACTGTTGAAAGAATATAAAGAGTTGTTCGCATGGTGCACGGAAGAAGAGGTGGCGCGGTTGCTCGCGGCAGGGTTGATCCGACCAGTAAAATACCCAAAATGGCTGGCGAATGTGGTCTTAGTGAAAAAATCTTCTGGCGCGTGGCGCATGTGCGTCGACTACACAACCTTGAACAAGGTGTGTCCGGGTGATCCTTACCCCTTGCCGCGGATAGACCAGCTGATTGACGCCACCGCGGATCAGGAAACGCTGTCGTTCCTGGACATGTTCTCGGGGAACCACCAAATACCGATGTCACGAGAGGATGAAGAAAAGACGGCATTTATGACGCCATTCGGGAACTTCTGCTTCGTTGGAATGCCGTTCGGCTTGAAGAATGCTAGCGCGACCTACCAGAGAATGATCGACTCTGTGTTCGCGCGTCAAATCGGGAGGAACATTGAAGCTTACGTGGACGACCTCATCGTCAAAACCAAAGCGGGCAACTCACACCTGGAAGATCTGCGCGAGACTTTCGAGGCGATGCGCAGGCACAGCCTGCGCTTGAACCCTCTAAAATGCGTGTTTGGAGCGGAAGCAGGAAAGTTCCTGGGGTTCATGATCACTAGGCGCGGAATTGAGGTCGACCCGAAGCAGATAACCGCCGTCCAGCAACTGCGGGCGCCAAGGAGCGCGCTAGAAATACAGTCCTTGAACGGAAATATAGCGGCGCTGGGAAGATTCATACCAAGGTCAGCCGATAAATGTGCCACTTTCTTCCAAACGCTCAAGAACGGCACGCGGTTCGCGTGGACGCGAGAATGTGAAGCAGCCTTTCAAGAACTCAAGACATATCTTGTATCC